ATACAATATTATACAACAACAGCTTCAGGTGTACAGTGCAGTGATCAAGCCTCTACCCCATCCATGATGCGGTCTCCCTAGCAAGACGTGACCATCTGACACCCCACAAAATATTCACAACACCATCAATTACATTCCTCGAACTGTCTTCCACGACCCTGTGGCAACATTGAATTTATCGTTCTTTTGGATTAAGTTACTCTTGTAGTCAATTAAAAAGTAACTTTTAAAAACAAGTAGTACATATACATAGTGTACACTTTAAAAGGTACAAAAAAGTACACAAAATATGTGTTTTTCTCCAACCTCTGCCCAAATGCCCCATGGTCCCTCCCTGGACATAACCAGGGTTATTAAGTTTATATGCACCCTGACATGTGAATTCTGTGTATATAGAAACACTTTCTTTTTTAGAAGTATTAATACATACTGTATTTCACAAATGTGTTTGTGTGCATCTGTAGGATCAATTCCCAGAGGAGAAATTGCTGGGGCAAAGCATACGAGTATTAGTAGCTATATTCCTGTTTTACCAGCTTACCCTCTTGCAATGTCCAAGAGTGCCTCTTTCCCTGCACACTCACAAGCATTGTGTGTCAACGAAGTTTTGTTTCTGTTTTTGTGCTATGAGGCCCTGGTAGATCAACGTTTTTGATTGTTGCCAATCTGATCCGCAAAACATTGTATCTTATTTCTTGCAATTTTAATTAGCATTTTTCTTATGTGGAAATTTGATCAGCTTTGAATTTTTTTTTATTGGGTAACTGTGTTTTTTCCAGGACCCATCAGCTGCAAGTCAAGTTGTTGTCCTTCAATTTAGTTGTGGAGGGCACAACTCAGCTCCAAGTCCAGTCGCCGTGTTTTCTCTCTAGTTGCGGGGGGCACAGCCCACCATCCTATGCGGAAATCGAACTGGCAACCTTGTTGTTAAGAGCATGCACTGTAATCAACTGAGCCACCTGGCCACCCAAGCTTTGAATTTTTAAGTCATTTCTAATTTTCTCTGAATCTTCTGGTTATTTCCTTTGCCCATTTTTTCTGTTGATTTTGACATATTTTTCTTAATAATTTACAGGCATGCTATATGTTAAGAAAATTAGCTGTTTGTGATAAGGATAGTGATTTTTCTCAGCTTATTCATGGTGTGTGTGTGCCTTCTTTAATCAAATTGTTGTTTTTGCATTTTTATATAATCAGATGTATCAGTGTGTTTTTATGGTGCATACTTTTTAAAAAAAACTTTATTTTTATTTATTTAAAAAATAGTTTTCTTTGAAATTTTATTGGGGAATAGTATGTTTTTCCAGGACCCATCAGCTCCAAGTCAAGTAGTTGTTTCAGTCTAGTTGTGGAGGGCACAGCTCTTTGGCCCATGTGGGAATTGAACCAGCAACCTTGGTGTTTTGAGCCTGTGCTGTAACCACCTGAGCTAACCAGCAGCCCCTAAACTCTTTATTTGGAAATAATTGTATTATAGAGTCATTGGTAGTTGCAGAAATGGTACAGAAAGGTCCATGTAAACCTTACCCACTTTTCCCTGAAGGTTACATCTTACATAATGTACAGCATAATATGGAAACCAGGATATTGACATTGATACAATGTGTGTTCTGTGCCATTTTGTCATATGTGTAGATACATTTAACCACCATAGGAGTCACCATAAAGATCTCTCTCATGGCTCCTGTGTAGTCACACCCACCCCAGCCCCTGTCAGGCACTAATCTGTTCTCCATCTCCATAATGTCATTTCAGGAATGTTTGATAAATGAAATCCTATGGTATGTGACCTTTAAGATTGGCTTTTTTCTCTTGGCCCCTCCTCCTGTCTCTTATCTTTGGCTCCACTAATCTGTACTCCATCTCATTAAGGATTGGATTCTCCTGCTTCTCTGCATGCCTGGTAATTTTTGACTGGATGTCAGACATGATTTTCCCTTGAGGACTGGATATTTTTATAGGCCTAGACACATGGTTTGAGCTGTGTTCTGGATGCTGGAAACAGTTGGATCCTTTAGCGTCTGGCTCTGAAGATTTGCTGCGTGGGCCCTTTCAGCGTAGCTTTTTTTTCCCCCCACACGCTGATGCAAGACCCTTCCTTCTGAGCGCCCTTCCCAATGCCTCCGAATTGTGAGGTTTACCATTCTGGCCGGTGGGGACAGCCACTAGTGCCTGTCCTGCTTGAGCGCTAGGCATCGTCCACTTTCATCCTTTCGGGGTCCTTCCCCCGGCCTCACGTAATTTCCTCACGCCTGTGTTGATCAGTGGTCTGTTGAATACTCCAGTGGGACCATCCACGGGTGTGGAGGGTCTTCTCCCCCTGCCACGCTCTTCTCTCTGGTCCTCTACCCTGCCAGCTCTAGGTGCTGAGAATTTCAGTTCCATCTCCTAAACTTGGGGAGCTGCCTGGGCTCCATCTCAATTCCCCTTCCTACTCTGTGGCCTGGCAGTTCTCTTTAAGGGCTCACGTTTTTTGTTTCCCATCTATTGGCCTTCCTGTTTCTTACATATTATCCAGTTTATTTATTTGTTTCAGGCAGGAGGATAAGTCCAGTCCCTGTTACTCCATCTTAGCTAGAAGCAGAAAGCCCATTCATTGGTATTTAAATCAACCAACGAAACCAAACTTTGCCAAAATAAAATTCCCAGAATGTAATTGTATAAAAGATGTTTATTATTGTGACTATATGTTATAACTTCAAACTGAAACTCGTCCATTCCCAAAATGGATGGACACACAGTTGCATGGTATGCACTCTGACATGACAATGGCAGTCTGTTTAGCATTTAGTGGGTGCCAGGCACGAAGCTAAGCACCTTGTGTGGATTACCTCATTTACTCCTCAACGGCTGGGTGAGCTGGAAATACCTGCAGCCTGCAGCTGAAGAAGTGGGTTAAGAGAAGTTAAGTGACTTCTCTTGGCATTTGAAAATAAAACAATACTTAAAATTATTCTTTCTCAGACTGGGTTATATAGAAAGGACTGTTGTGTCTTAATGTAATTTGCAGAAAATGAGCTGAGTTCTTTTTCTTTTTTTAAGCTGAGCCATCTTGCCGCCTATTGGCATCTCAGCGGCAGCTCAGCTTGGGCTGGGCATCGAACTGCTGTTGCTCAGAGCTCACACTCTTGAGCGAGCTTTTAACCAACTGAGCCACTAGGCCGGCCCTCAAGCTGAGTTCTTATTTCAAGTTAGAGCCTCAGAGTTACAGGAAAATTTTATTTCTAGAACAAAGGACAGCATTCTTTTGGGGGACATTTCTAGACAAATGGAGAGACTACACCCAGGGGCCTTTGTTCATTTGGTTCTGAAACCACCCTCATTGCTATTGTTGACATTGGCGGCCTGCCAGAGAGAAATCAAATGAATTTTAAAAATCTTTTTCAAAATCTTTTTTCAAAAATGGGAATAGGTTGGAACTAGAGAGAGGATAGAAGACTACTCAAGTTAATAATGTAAGTGACTTAGAAAAATCTTTCAGATAGCACAGTGAGAAGTATTTGTGTGATGAAACATTACCTAAATTGGATTAAGAGGATGCAACTGTATATAATCATGGAAACCGAACGGATTCCATTTAAAAAAAGAAACACCTTGTTTTTAAATTGTAAGTCTGGTGTCAACCTTGTTTCATTCTTTTATTGCCATTAAATTGTAATAGGTTTGTTTTAAACCTCAGGATGCTTTCTGCGCCCTTATTAGCGTCACAGATTTTGTTCCCACAAGTTGAAAATACCTTGACAGACACACAGGTTGGCTGAACTCACAGGTCGCCCCATGAGAGTCGTGGGCTGGTATCACTCCCATCCTCATATAACTGTTTGGCCTTCACATGTTGGTAAGTATTACGGGGTTGCATCTTAGAAGTGAATAGAATTTTCCTTCTCCATTACATGGGCTATGGTTATTTTAAACCAAAATTTAACTATCCTTAAACAGGTATCCTTATTTTTATTTTGCTATGTTTTAAAAGTAATATTGATTGTTCTTAAAAGAGATAAAATTTCACTACTCCATTTTGACTATTCAGGAAATCAAGATTAGCTAAATCCTTATAATTGGCTGATATAAAAAAAAAGCTATAACTAAAAATGGCTAATTTGTGAATACCACTGCCCAATACACTACCACTGGTGGGATGGGTGACAGCTACAAAACTGATGTCTGCATGGCTGTTTAACACACATTCCATCCTAGCTGTTTGGGATGTCAACCTACCTTCTATCCCTCTAATAATGTTACAAAATTGTTTTCTCTCTTTATCTTTACCCCTTGTCCTGAATCACGGTCACGTTTTGTCTCTACCCGACTCTCCTGAAGGAAGTAGAACAATTTTACTTGGGCAAACTGAAGTAACATTCTTGGGCATTTATGTGCTGATGGTTTCCAACTGTTTTCATCTCGAACCTTCATGGTAGCCTGTCAGTTAGAAATCTCCCCCCATTGTACTGAGGAGAAAATAGAGGCCCACAATGGTAACTCAGCAGCAGAGCTGAGGTTTGAAGCCAGGTCTGTCTTCCAAGTCTGGGCTCTTTCCACCGTGATCTTCTATTTCGAGTCATAGAGGCTTGATCGATTGCAAATTCCATGTTCACCTGTGCTGTGGCATGAGTGCCAAGAAACCAGCAGCAGTGCAGTGTCAGACTTGAATAATAGATGGGTGGTCCTGCATCGAGAGCAGTGACTCTCAGTGTAGGGAGGGACACTTCTCAGAATCAGCTCGAGAGCTTCTGTAAAATGGACCTGCCCTAAATTCATCTTTCCCAACCCGGACCTAACAGTCTCTGGGAGTGGGGCCTAGGAATACTGTGAAAAAGCTCAAGGAATTCCGGTGTGGAGCCCCAGTTCAATACTGATTTAGAATAAGGGAGATAAGGGATTTGCTCTGTTTCTTGCTGACAGAAACCGACTCCTGCCCCACTGTAGCATGATATTGGCGTGCCTAAGACATCCTGTATTAACAAAAATAATGTAGTATCAAAACAGTTTCTTCAATGCAAAAGAAAAAGCTTGAAGCTAGAATGTGCAATCACAAGAACTGAGGTATTTTTAAGTTGTATCTTGACATAATTTGGGTTAAAGTTGATAAAATAGTCAAAGAATTCCTGAATACTCTTTTCCTAGATTTGCCAAATGTTAACATTTTGCAACATTTGCTGTGTCATTCTCTCTTTCTGTACATATGTGTATATGTATATATGTATGTGTGTGGATCTGAGTATAATTTTTCCTGAAATATTTGAAAGTAAGTTGCAGACGCTATTCTCCTTTACCTCTAAATACTCTTCAGTGTGAAGTTCCTAAATACAATGCTATTTTCTTATATAACTACAGTGCATTTATCAACAATTGAGAAAATAGCATTGATATAATACTGTCATTTAAATTATTGCCCTTATTCATAGCCTTTAATTGGCTCACTAATGCCCCAGTAAAAGTGGTTTTTATAGCTATAAATGTATTCCTGTAAAACCGTAATATCACTGAATAAATTCAGTGTTTGCTTATACCTAACTTTTACTCAATAATAGTAGCTATTTTTTTCCTGCCACCATCAACATTAAATGGGATTGACCTCAAATTTCTCCTATGGTAGTGCCAACAGCCAGAAAGAAATAAGTACCAACCACTCATGAAAGAAAGCTTGGAATGTATATTCCTGAACAATTACTGTCACTATGGTAATAAGTTAGAATGGAAAAGATTTAAAATCGTGTGGTAAGAAAAGAAACTCCCTAAGAACTAGGGGCGTGGGGTAAACATTATTAGTCTCTGAAGTCGAACACCCACAAAATGTTTAGAATTCGGAGAATGATTGAATTTTCCCCGCTGGGGAAGAAGGTCCACGCCATTTAACAAGAAGCTGGGATGCATTTGCAGTGCAGCAGTAAGAGCAGAATGAAACTGAGAAACAGGATCCACTGAAAATTATGAATCAATAAAGAAGCCAAATGAATAATTCAGCACAAAATAGACTTGGAGACTGGAGCATTCGTATCTTACCTAGAAATACTAATACTTACCTGGGTAAGCAAAAGGAACAAATAACCGCAAATGTAATAAAGCTTACTCTCAAAGACACTTCTAAGAGTGTAAAATTTTAAACTGCAAATAGAAAGTTCAGAGAGGTATCTAACCCCACCATGAGGGCTGGGAACACCAGCTTTGGATTGTGTTAGGAAAGGAGGCTGTGTTAGAATCTCGTTTCAGTCACTTAGTAGATGAGAAGACCTCTTAACATCTCTGTGCCACAGTTTGCTCTATGACACAAACGGAGAACCCGTTACCAGTCTCAGCGTTGTTTGGAGCAGTGCGTGAAATCATGGTTGTGGCCTTTGTCCCATGCTTATCACGATACCAAAGCATGTATTTGTACAACTCGTGACACACACAGAGTATGATTACATGTCTAACAGTGAAGGGCAGACAACATTTGAAGGGTTAACAAGAATACATCAGGTTTCAACTGACATCAAAATATTTGTGGTAATAAAACTATGGGTAAAACTAAAGAAAAAAACAATCTCCCAACGAAACTGGTGTTCACAGTAGACTGCTGTGGATTTCAAAATACAAAGATACAACTCATCTCCAAACAGTTGTTTAAGAATTGGGTCAAACAGGCCCTATATTAGCAAGCCTTGGGAAAAAGTGAGTGATGAATAAAAACAGGTTGATTTAAAATATGTACAGTCAGTATGTTTAATAGGAAAAGAATGCCAAGCTATGATAAAGAATGGCAAGTGAGAAGGAGTGAATTTTTTTTTCCATTACAGAAAAGATAGGGAGGGAGAGGATGTGACAGCAGCGTGTGTGTAACAGATTTTAATGCTTTTATGATAAGGCAGTTAGGAGAATTAGGTTAAGTTCTAGTGGTTAAATGAGATAGCATTCTAAACATATTTTTAACAGATTATTACATGGATGATTATTCAAAAAATTTATTGGATACCTGTATGGAATAATACAGTCATGATTTCTGCTGGCTTAGACCTTAGGGTTTTGTGAGGAAGAAAAAGAAAGTACTGAGGGGAAAACAAAGAGTAACAACAGTAAAGAAGGAATACAGCATTTGTACCAGCAAATCTAGACAGGGTAAACACCTATAAAAGTAAAAGCCTCGGGATTGAGAAATAAACACAATAATATGCCATTAAAGACAAGCTGCAAACTTAAAGAGTTGAACAGAAAATAACGGGCTAGGTTAAGCTCTATGGAGAAAGTCAAGGTCGCAGTTACATCATTAGCAAAAGGGTAAGAGAGAGAAGCTAGGTCATTCTGTAATAAAAGGCACTGTACATAATGAAACAGTGTTACATTATGTTCCCTATCATAGCAATAAAATGTGCAAAGGACCAAGTGTTCCATGTAAGGAATGGAAAGGAAGCTCTAGTTGAATAGAAGAGCTGGATAACCCACTCAGAATTGTCTTCATTCCTTCAAGAGTATGAGTGAATGTTTTGACTTTGGGTTGCGGTTGGCAAAAGCAAGGGTGATGTAGGTCAAGCACGCACCCTAAGACTTTAAAACTTGGTTTAAAAATATCAGCCTTACAGAAAAATTATAAGAAGAGCATACAGAAACAGGTTCAACAATTGTTACCCTTTTGCTAAGTTTGCTTTCTCCTTTTCTGTCTGTATCCCTCCAACCCACACACTATTTGAGAGTGACTTATTTCTCAAGGATGTTCACATCCATAACCACAGTGCAGTTCCTAAAGTCAGGAAATTGGATGTTGATATAATCCTATTATGTGATCTGCAGAACTTTGTCAAATTTTGCCAATTATCCCAATGCTGCCCTTCACAGCAATTTTTCCTTTGCAGTCGAGGACCCAATCCTGAGATCATGCATGCCATTTAGCCTCATGTCACGTTAGTCTCAATCTGGACTTTTTCTCATTCCCAAAGTTCTGAATTCCCCACTTACTCCTTCACTTTCAGCAGATAACACCCTTCCAACTTTAATAGAGGAAAGGGGGGTAATGAGAAAGGGATTTTCAGCATCCTCTTTAATCACCTACGTATCACTGTGCACATCTTCTATTTCCTCCTCTTACAATAGAGAATGTGTCCTTTCTCTTTGCAAATACCTATCTGTCCACTCCCCCTCTCAGTTTTTGCCTCCCATGTTCTCAAAGCCTTTCCCTCTTCATTATGCTTCTCTCTCCTACATCTTATCCCTTTCTGCTCTACTGGATTCGTACCATCACTTATTTGTTCCTTCAGCAAATAAGTTTGATTGTCTGCAATGTGTCTTGCCATCTTCAAGGTGCTGGGGATAAAGCAGTGCAAGAGAAACAAGGTCTCTATCTTCATGGAGCTTTCAAACATGCTCATACCTCACTTGTTGAAGAAAATCAAACAACACTTTTCACAGTCCCACCTCAGGTGCATATTAGCTTGCCCTTCACCTTCACAGCCAAACTCAAAGAGATAGCTACACTTAGGCTTTCTCACCATTCACCCACACCCCTCACCTCACTGTTGTCTGGCTTCTAGCCCATCACTCTGTTGAAGTGGGTCTTGCTGAAGCCATCAGTGACATCCATGTTGAAAATCTAGTGAACATTTCAAGACTACATCTTACGTAGCATTTGACAACTACTGTCTTCTTGAAACACTTCCCAAGTAATCATGAAGAATGTATGTAGCTATTAATGGAAGAAACTAAGCTGAGGCTCAGAGTTGAAATACATTGTCCAAACCTGATGGCTAAGTAAGTGGCGGAGTCAGTATCTGAGCTGATGTTTGTATGAATTGGGCCTAGACATTCTATAGCATCTTGCTTTGACTGGTTTAGTGGGGATAATGCTATTTATGAAAACAGGAAATGGGGGAAGCATAGGTTTGATGATAGGGAAAGAGAGATGGTTGAGTTACAGCATACCCACACAATTAACTTAACCTGAATTTTAGCTGTATATGAGCATGGTTTGCAAAAGAAAATGGGAAGTGGTTTAAATAGTGCGGGATACTTCATAAATCTCATGAGACTTGGCAATATTTTTAAGTTACTCTTATATCCACTTTATTGCCCTTGTAAGTGCATATTAAAATATTAAAAGGAGAAATGTGCTTGTGGCTGTGTCCCTCATTTTTAAGACCTGCTCAATTCTTTCATAGAGAGTGAGGTCATTAGTACTGCTATAAACAATGACATCATAGTGAGTTAATTTATCTCTAGGGTTGGTGGGTCAAATCAGCCTCCTATGACAACTATAGGCTGTGACTTTAATTAAGCAGTTTTTCTACAACCAATCATTTTAACAAATTACATTTTCCAAAACAAGCATTCTTTTCTAGAGGTTACACATTCAATATTCCTTTGAGTCATTATGAACAGTTTTTTGATATTATATTTGCAATGCCCTTCTTGGCAAACAGACTTAGGTGGAAACGCTATCAGGACAAGGTATAGAATAAGCGAAGGCTAAACTAAAGTTTATTGTTATGTAATGCCTATCTCAGGGCTTGTATGCTTAAAAGCACTTGTGTATATTGTCTCCCTTTTTTTAAATTAAAATTTACTGGGGTGACAATTGTTACTAAAGTTACATAAGTTTCAGGCGTACAATTCTGTAATGCGTTATCTATATATCACATTGCGTGTTCACCACCCAGAGTCAATTTGGGTGGGATGGTATGGACATCAGACTCAGATAGCCATTCTTCAGCAATGGTCGTGGATGGAATGGAATGGAACTCATGCTTATGTGCTAGGCATTGTGCTAAAAAAATCTTGCAAGTTTTAAAATACAAAACCCTGTGAGAGTAGGGATGATGTTTATCCTAATTGAACTGATGAGGAAATAGGCTTAGAGGTGTTAAAATGTTGACCAAGGTCATATTCGCGGTACGGAGACCATTTATACAATGCTATGTATTTCAGCAACAGTTTCAGCCAGTATTTCCTTCATATTCATTTCTGGGTCCCATGTGGTCTCACTCGTTACTTAGGAAGCCATGGGAAAGAAGTCCCAATCCAGATCAAATGCAAAGAAGTTTTCAGAACAAATTGGCAAGTGAAGTGGGTGTAAGTCCCTGGACCAAACCACGCTCTGTAGTGTTTCGTTGTAATACCTGATCTTTCATATCCTTCATGAACAATGGTCTGAAGACTTCAGATCTTCCAATTTAGCCTCTGTTCAGTTTTTGGTAATCTTTGAACTAATCCTTTCTAATGTTTTTTGGTGCCTGTTTATGATTTCCTTTTCAAAAACCATATACTGAGCTTTTGTTTCTACTCCCTAGAATGTTGAATTGAATTCTATTGCAATCAGTTCTATAAAGTGGTTTCCTCTGTTTGAATTTCCTCTGTAATAGTTCTACGGTTCCATTTTTTAGTATCAGGTCTAACATATACATTCATTTCCCTAGGAGCAGGCCATCAAAAGTTTACTCTAGGAAGTCTTTTTGTCTGCTTCCAGTGCCTGTCTTTTTCTTTGAGTCCTCTGGAAGAAATTATCACATTTTGGGGGCCTAACTGAAGTTTTCCATTTTTCTCTTTCTATGCTATGTTTCATAGTGGGACTAGTCTTGGGCGAGGCAGCCTAGAGTTATTAATGTTTTCTTATTTAATTGCAGACTTCCTGTGGTATTTCTGTATCCTAGTAAAATATTTATACTTTGACAATCATTTTGTCCATCAGATATATCCTTTTTCTGCCTATAAAATATGAATCCTGGGAGGACTGTATGCCATCATTATCTTTAAATCTTCATCTCTGTGAGATACAGTTTCTTGACAGCAGATTTTTATTTTTGTTTATTTGCAGATGTTCGCACACAAGCCATGTACCAGATGATGGATCAAGGCTTTGTAGGACTTATTTTTTCCTGTTTCATAGAAGATAAAAACACAAAGGTATTGTGTGCGTGTGCGCAAGTGTGCGTGTGTGCATATGTGTGCGCACGTGTGTGCGCGCGCGCGTGTGTGTGTGTGTGTGTGTGTGTGTGTGTGTTTACACACACACACAGAATGGAGAAAAATCTTTTTGCAATTTTAATAGGGTGGCCAGGGAAGGTTTCAATGAGAAGGGTCATTGAGTCAGGACCTGAAGAAAGTGAGGGAGCGAGTCTTGTGGATTTCTTGGGGGAAGAGCGTTCCAGGCAGAGGAAATAGCCAGTGCAAAGACCCTGAGGTGAGTGTGGCATGTTCAGGGGACATTAAGGAAGTCACTGTGGCTGCAGCAGTGAGGAAGACCGTGACCCTATGTCCCAGTGCCTCTGTCAGTCCCAGTTTTACCCCATTACCCCAGTCTCCTATTCAGTTAGCACACTTCTTGGAAGTGTCCTGGTTTAGACGAGAAATCATTTGGTCACCTTACGATGAGGTCTGAAAGCTAACTGGGGCCAGGTCTTACAAGGCTTCCACTTTGATTCTGAGTTGGGAAGCCACTAGAGGGTGACTGTGTGTTTCAATGGGATTCTTCCGATGACTGTGTTGATAACATACTGGACGGGGTGGAGAGGGAGTGCGGGAGGGAGGGGGTGTGGAATCCATGGCGTCCATGAGAGCAGTTAGGAAGATATTGCAGCCATCTAGCAAGAGATGATGGAGGTTTGACCACGGTGGTAGGAGTGGAGGCAATAAGAAATGACGATTCTGCATATATCTTGATGGCTAATAACAGTACCAAGTGCTACCATTTATCACCTATTGTCTGGCACGTACTTATTAGGTGTTTTACATACTTATGCTCTAACCCTAACAGCAAGCCTATGAGGATTATTATCATCCGTAGTTTATGGATGAGCATAATGAAGCTGAGAGAAGTTAAGCAGCTTGATCAAATGACTAGTCTTGCCATTCTCTTTTAGAGTGCTTCTGTTTGAATTTTATAATATGTTCATGTCAGGAGATTTTGCTATGTGTCAGTTTAAACAAAAAGAAAATTAGTATTTAACATCGTAGGTATGAATTTTGCCAAGAGTATCAAGTGTGTCCTATCATTTAGCACATTAGTTATATCCTCAAAATCTGTGTTAACAATGAATATTCTTCATAAAATCACTCTTTTCCTTAAGTATTAAAGTTCAGTATTTTGAACTTTATACTTCACTTGAAATGCTTTTGGCTTTGTCATCATAAGCTTATTTGTTATCATTATAAATCGTTGTTGAATAAGTTTGTTAGCTTCCAACAAAGCAGTTTGAATGGTCTGGTTTTTAGTTTCCCAGTTCTCATGTTCGTGAGCAGTTCTCTGCTGTCCCATGAACACATGTTTGATTGTGGCCATTTCGTGTTGACTGAGTTATATTATCCTTCTTACAGAAAACAATGTGTGACATATTCCATCTTTGTAATCTCTTCTAACCTTCCACTTTCAGAGTGGACTTTGATTTTTAGGATAGAGTCTACTAAATTGCTATACCTTTAAAAAATTAATCCTTCTTTTTGTGACCTTTCTTTTTATTAATTTTTATTTGTTTTTTTTGTAGACTGGCCGCGTACTCTACACTTGCTTTCAATCCATTCAGGCCCAAAAGAGCTCTGAGTAAGTATGACAGAGATGTATGTATGTATTGGTGGGTTAATCGCCAGTCTTGGAAATAGATTGTTTTGTTTCACTTTATTTCTCTCACTGGTAAGACATTAAGAATTCTATATTCTTTGTAGCCCCATTAATATCTCTGTGAAGAGTTAGAAGCTCTTTAGCATCTCCGGTAATGGGAATTGAGAAAACTAGTCTCATATAAGCAGTCTTTTCATTGCAATTACGTCATCACAGCCCTGTCCCACATTTCGTTTCTTGCAATTATTCTGAACTGTACTGCTATTTATCCTTTCTCTGGTGAATTGTAAGCCAAAGACTGAGTATGAAGAGTATTCTAGATTTGTATACACTATTGTCTTTTCTGTTCCATAAACTTGATTTTATTATTATTTTTATTTATTTTATTGTTATTTTAAAATTTTTATCTGAGCCATCCTGCCACCTGTTGGTAGCTCAGCGGCAGCTCAGCTTGAGCTGAGAATCGAACCGGCGACCCTGTTGCCTAGCGCTCACACTCTTGAGTGAACGCTTAGTCAGCTAAGCCCTTCAGCCGCCCCATAAACTTGATTTTAGAATTGCAGTATCTCATTTAAATGTTTGCATAGGTTAATGTCCTTGTTTAAATTCAATTCAACCTACATTAGAAAATCTTAATTTAATATCTGCTGCATGCCAAGCATTATGATAGGCACTGAGGACGCAAGGATGAAAGCCAAGTTCATTATCTAATTGGAAAACAGATGCAAAGACTGTCTTAAATTGTTTTCTTATAATAATTTTAATTTATTATAGCATTGTAGCAATGTTTGAAATAGCAATGGATTGGAAAAGACAGGTGTCTGTAAGTACAGAGTGATTAAATAAAGTTTGAAGCACCCAAATAATGGATTAATATGTAGCCATTAAAAAATGAGGAAGCTCTGTAGTAATACAGAAATATTTCCAAAATACATTCTTAAATAAAAAAGGCGAGGTACAAGAATATTATATGTAGCATGCTACCGCTCATGTAACAATATGGAAGAGAAATAGCCATGAACACACCAGCATCCTTGCTTATAAGTACATACCATGTTTCCCCCAAATTAAGACCGGGTCTTATATTAATTTTTGCTCTAACAATCTGCATTTATTCATTTATTCATATACAAAAATCTACATTTATTCAAATAGTCATGTCTGGCTGACGATCTTAACTGGGGCTTATGTTTGGGGTAGGGCTTATATTATAAGCATTCTGAAAAATCATGCTAGGGCTTATTTTCCAGCTGGGTCTTATTTTTGGGGAACTACGGTAGGTTGTATGGAAAGAAACACATCAGCCCCCTCAGCAGAGAGGAGGTGGGAATGAGGGAATAGGAGGTGTGGAGACTTCACTGCATCCTTTACATAGCTTTGGAATGTTGAACCATTCAGAAGTGTTGCTTAGTCAAGAAACTTTAATTTTTAAAATTTTCATCAAAGTGAAAGATGCACATGTATAAAAATATCAAATGGTATGGAAGAAGTTATAGTAAATAGTGTCAGTCCTCAGAGGGAACCACTTCTTTCTTCTAATTTTGTTTTTAGTTCTGGTGTTTACTTCAATATCTCTAAGTAATATACATTTGATCCTCTTTCTTGATTTACTAATTTTAGATATTATCTATTCTTATTATTACATTATTTTGCTCTCACAACCGTAAATAAAGTTTGCCCTTTTATTTATTCTGTTAATAACAGACAATAGATGATGTCTTTTGGCTCCCTACTGTTACTTGCAGTTTTACCATAAACCTTTATATTTTCACAGTTGCAAATATTTATGTTCTGTGTTGTAACCGTAATTGTTTTCTGTGCTATGTTGACTAGTTTATTCTTAGAGTAGAAAATTAAGAGTTTATATTATGATGATGTAAATATTAGTCCATGTACAACCACACAGTGTATTGTAGTATATACTGTGATTCTATTTCCTTTCTTGTATAGCTTTTTGCTTTTTCATAGGGTTTTGGAATGACTTTTTCCTCCTTGTTTTTCTGCCTTTATCACCTCCCTGAGCTCCAGATTTGGAGGAGTAATAGAAAATTCTTTGGGTTCCCTGCTTTTCCTACAATTGCTCCCTGAAACCCTCCATCTTCCAACTGTAATCCGGTCTCAGTTGACATCCTGGGACTTTCCTTCATTATCCTCCTAGGTTGGATCTGTTGTTGTCTGGATTTCATGTTGTCTTTCTTGGGTCACTCTATCCTAGTAATTTCCTAAGAAAGGTGTGCATTTGAACTAAACCTTGTGAGTCTGTGCTTGTCTGAAAATGTTTTTATTCTTCATTAATAACCCAAATGGATAAAGAATTCTAAATTGACATTTTCCCCCTCAGAACTTTAAAAGCATTGTTTGTTTCATTGTTTTTAAACATCCAGTGTTATTGATGAAGTCTACAGTCCAATTTTGGTTCTTTTGTAAGGGACTTTGTCTTCTCTGTCTCTCTCTGATAGCTTTTAGGAACTTTCTTCTTAAGGTTGTGAAATTTTCTATGATATAGTTAGAGTGTGGATATTCTATGATTAAAACTGTTGAATGCTTTTAATCTGGCAGCACTTATCCTTTAGCTCTGGGAAGTTCTCTGCTATTGTTTTCTTTTGTATCCCCAGATAAAACAATCCATAACATAACCAGTTCCTGGGAAGAGAAAACCTTATTTATAATTCAGTCCAATCCCATAATTTAAAGTTTGTCCAAGTTTAAATCAGTCTTAGGGAGATAATCTCTCATTCTATCAATTACTTCCCTTTCTCCCTATGTTTGTCTCTAAGATGACATCCGAAGTGTTGGGGAGATGATGTGAACAAACTTCTGTTATAGGTCCCCTCTCATGGACTTGAAGCCCTAACATAATGAGGTACCTTACCAGCCTCTCTCTTATGACTCTCTCCCTCCTTCTCCCCGTAAGTTAGTAGGACAATTGTGTCATGTCATTTTCTCTATTCTTTGATAATTCCTCCTCCTGTTTTCCCTTTCTCTTTCTATAACAATTAGTCAGATATCTAAGATCCTAGATTGACCACAGTGACACCTTTCAGTCATATTTTCTATCCTTTTTTTCTAATGTCTTAGGTATATTCTTGATTTTACCTCCTAACCCATTTATGGAAGTTTGTTTGTTTTTGTTTTGTTGTTGTTTAGCAATTTTATATTTTTAATTTCCAAGGGATTTTTTTTCCTTGTTCATTTCCATTTCACAATATCCTGTTCTTGGTTTGTGATATAATATCGAAATGTTATAGTTTCTTCTCTTTTTTTCAGTTATATGTTTCTTCTGTGGTCATTTTTAATGCTTATTTATTTTTTTATCTTTCTTGTCCATCCTTTTTTAAGACGAAGACAACAAAAATATAGGTGGTAGCTCATTATTTGTGGCCTTAGCTTGGTAATAGGAGGTTTTATTTTAGGGTGAGTAGGTTGAGAACCTGCCATATTTCTCAGGGATCACTAAATGTTAGATTTTAGGTATCTTGCTCTGGGATACCAATCTTAACAAGTGTTTCCTCCTAGATAGTTTATTCTATTTGTTAGGAGAACACTTGCTGCTGCTGTTGCTGCTAATGATGATGATGATTTTGGCTTAAGAATGGGAGCTTGGTTACTAAGCATTCTGTGTACAGAGGCTCAATCTTGGAAGGGCACAAAAGAGGAGTAACTAGAGTCCCAGGTTTCTGACAGGAGGACCAAAAGGGGTAGTCTCCAGGAAATCACATAAAGGGAGGAGTGTGATAAAGCAACTTCATGAAGTGGTTTATGAATTTTTGGGCTCACTTTCTTAAGCCACATATGTATGGATCTGATCCTAATTAGCATAAGTGAGAATTGAATTAACTGGTAGACTGCCATATAGGTCCCATAATGACCCCTGGGTGACACACTTGCAGGAAAGATCTGAAGAGCACTATAAAGTCTCTGAAAATTGAATGGACATTGGAAACACAGTCCACTGTGGAAATTTCAACCTGAATGTAACTAGGCAGATTGTCTGCTAACACAAAAATAACACCATTCTCTATAGAATATAAACAAGACCCAGTTATCTCTTAACACAATATTCAGAATACACAGGATGCAATTCAGAATTACTTGGCATGTGAAGAACCACAAAAATTTCACTTTGCGTGGAAACGGATAATCAACAGAGGCGAACACTGAGATGACAGTGAGGTAGGAATTACCTGATAAAGACTGTAAAGCAACTATCATAAAAAATGTTCAAAAAAGCCTATCACAAATACTCTCACAACTGGTATTTAAATAGAAAGTCTCAGCAAACAAATGCAAGACATAATGAACCAAGTGCAAACTTTAGAACTGAAAAATATAATTGCTGAAATACAAGATTTAATGGATGGATTTGATAGCGGAATGGAGATTGCAGAGAAAAGAGTCAGTAAACTTTGATGATAGATCAATAGAAATTATCCAGTATGAGTAAGAGAGAAAAAATACTGACTAAAAAAGTAAATAGAGTGACATCAAAAATGGCATAGTAGGAAACTTCAAGAGTTCTCCAAAAAAGCAGTGAATAATCTGGCAAAAACTGTCAGAATGAACTTTATTGGAACATTAGAAATGAATCACAACTTTATAGCATCGAGCCAAGTGTTTAATCAAGAAAAAAACCACTAGAATCTCAGGATTTAAGGACACCTCTGTTGAGTCACTAGATGGCCACTAAGCTGACAGGACAGAGACCTCAGTGGCCACACATAGCAAAAAATATAGACTATAAAAATTAGTTCAGGAAAGTCCCTAAACACACAAAGAAAATAGGATAAAACAAGGAGCAGCAACAAACTCTGGGGAGGGGGTAAAATCTGATTTCCATAGTTACCATGTTATAGTATTCAAATGGCCAGTTTTCAACAAAATAGGCATTAAAAGAAATTATGGGCTATAAATAGGAAAATAAATTTGTGAAAACATTCTCAGAGGAAGCCCAGACATTGGATTTATTAGACAGAAACTTTCAA